GGGATTTTTGAGTTGGTCTCCAGTTAGTTTTCCTTTGGGAAGTCTGTAGGTTGAACCCCCTCCCCCTGCAGCCTCCGTGGGCAACGCTGCAAGATGCCGCAGGCGATGAATTGCTTTCTCGGAGGTGTTAAGGTAAAGCAGGTCCCGGATGGACACCGGCTGCGTCTCTGCAGCCCTAAGTGCGCTCCGGGATGCTTCCTCCCGCTTCCCGCTTCTGTGAGGGTGACAGAGCATTGGAACAGGTTGCCCAGATTGGTGGTGGAGTCTCCTTCGCTGGAGATATTCAAAACCCGTCTGGATGTGATCCTGGGCAATATGCTCTAGGTGACCCTGCTTGAGCAGGGAGGCTGGACGAGATGATCTCCAGAGGTCCCTTGCAACCTAAACGATTCTGTGATTCTGTGATTCCCCTTGCCGTGTAACTGAGCTTGAAAGGCCACAGGCGTGAAATCGCCCGCGTCGCCGTTCAGCTGTTCCCAGCGTCGTTCAAACAGGCTCCCGTCAGCCGTCCCCAGGGAGAGCAGCGCTTGGGCTGAGGCCACAAGAACGCCTTCACTGGGCGCCCGTCCCCGGGGCTGTGTCACGAAGGCGTGAACCGGAGCCGGCGCAGGAGCAGGTCGAGCTCTTTCTTGGACCGTTGCTCACGCAGCTCCTTCCTTTAAAGGCGCGGGGATCCTCGCCATGGCCAACGCTGGCCCGGACACAAACGGCAGCCAGTTCTTCATCACGCTGGCGCCGCAGCCGGGGACGGGCCGGGAGGGTCGGGCGCGTGTGCCAAGGCATCGGCATCGTGAACCGCGTCGGCATGGTGGAGGCGAACGCCCAGGACCGCCCCGTCGATGACGTGAAGATCCTGAAGGCTTTTCCCTCGGGTTAGGACGGCTAGGAGCGCTGGGGCGTTTCGGTGGGCGAGCGCAGGTGTCCCCAGCGGGGAGGAGAGCGCTCCAAGGGCATTAGAGGTGGCGTGGGGCAAAATCCCCTCTCCAAAAGGGGAAGCACGGGGTGGGGGGGTGGGTAAAAAGAATGAAGTCAGGGATCTGCGTTGTTCAAGGATGAAGCCTTCATCTGGGGAAGGAGGGAGACGGCCGGCCCGGTCTGTTGTC